CTGGGTGACAAGGTGGGGTTGGGTCCCAGGTTGGATTCAATAATCTCAGAGGTCTGTTCCAACCTGGCTGATCGTGTGATTGTCTGATTCTGTGATCCCTCTGCAGGGTTAACATGACCGAGGTGGAACCCGTGCTGGACTTTGCATCCTCCGGCAGGACGGGCCGGCGCAATGCCCTGCCCGACATCCTGGGCTCACCCGCCGGCGTCAGCCCCGCTGACCTGCCCCTCAAACTGGCTGAGATGTCCCTGAGTGCAGGTAGGGGACAAGGAGGAGGAGGGTGACATGGAGGGGGGCAGGAACTGGGGATTCCCACGCTCATCCCATGTTCTGGCTCCTCACAACACTGAGGGGCTGGAGCAGCAGGAGCAGCTGAGGGAGCTGGGGGGGCTCAGCCTGGAGAAAAGGAGGCTCAGGGGGGACCTTCTGGCTCTGCAATCCCTGACAGGAGGGGGGAGCTGGAGGGGGTCGGGCTCTGCTCCCAGGGAACAGGGACAGGAGGAGAGGGAACAGCCTCCAGCTGTGCCAGGGGAGGCTCAGGTTGGACATCAGCAGGAATTTCTTGCTAGAAAGGGTGGTCAGGCCTTGGAAGGGGCTGCCCAGGGAGGTTTGGAGTCCCCACCCCTGGAGGTGTCCAAGGCAGGCCTGGCCGTGGCACTCAGAGCTCTGGGCTGGGGGACAAGGTGGGGATGTGGCACAGGGGGGGCTCCATGGGCTGGGAGGGCTTTTCCAACCTCAGTGATTCTGTGATTCTATTCTGTGATTCTACGCCCCAACTCCATCCCCTCCTCTCTCCCTGCAGGCAGCGCCCAGGAGATGCAGTCTCCCTCGGCGGAGGTGCCCCCTCCGCAGCCGCCCAGCCCCGAGCTGAAGGACACGTCCTAACCCCGCCCCGGGGGGACTTTGCTGACCAGCGGAGGGAGGAGGGGGCTGCGGAGCACCAGCCCAGCTTTCCTGGCATGGCCGGAGTCCGCTGGGATTTCCTCGGTGCTGCCGCAGCCCAGACCCTCGAGTGCCACCCCCACCACGGGGGAGCAGCGGACGTGGTGGGGGCACGGCGGGGACCTGCCGTGACAAAGGGGCGATTCCCACCCACGCCCTGGGCCAGGACTCGGAGGGGGGAATTTTTTTTTGCCTCTCCAGGGGGAGGAATATTTTTCTTCTGGGGCATTTTGGCGGAGCCGAGCGCAGGGGGGTCCCCGGGCGGGGGGGGCCCTCCTGGCCGCAGGAGCAGCCACGGTGTT